AGTCGACGTTAAGACAGCCCAACTCAACCCACTATCCCAAAGTCACTATTTCCACGTTTGACGACAATACCAGTTCTTCTACATGTATTGTGCTCCCGGGTTGTCTGCAAATTAAAAAAAACTCAAATGAAGAATTCTTATTTGCAACAGGCTCTCAGAAGCCACGATGTGTGAAAAAAAATTCACAGTCGACGTTAAGACAGCCCAACTCAACCCACTATCCCAAAGTCACTATTTCCACGTTTGACGACAATACCAGTTCTTCTACATGTATTGTGCTCCCGGGTTGTCTGCAAATTAAAAAAAACTTCAAATGAAGGCCCCTAAAGGCATCTTGCCAACGGAGGGGCCGCCAAAACAGCGTGATTCACTGTGTTCTTCATAGAACATGGACATTTTTTACTGTATAACATGACACCGTTTTTTAAAATTCCTAACGTATACATGCTGTCCCACTCGGTAACTTAGTTAGTTGTGGGCTTGTTTGGAGTGCAACTGTTAATTTTGAGATTTAACTTATCATACCCTTAAAAATGACTAATTTTAGGTACCTTTCACGTATCCAGATGATGGCAAATATTCTGTTGAGGTTGTCTTCATCAAATGAAATCGGCCTAAACTGAAGAGCCTTGAATCGATTCCTGACCCATTCTGTGAATATCTGCAACATGAGAATCTCTGCTTAAGGCAACGGTGAAACCAACACAACCCAACATTCTCTCTCCGAATAAACAAGCGTGAGCCCAGTGGCAAAGCCGACACACGTACATGTTCGGTGATCAACTGCTGAATCACTGAAGAACATCCCACTCGGTTCTTTTCCAAAGTACGTTAATTTCACAGCAAAAAATCTTCGCCATGGGGTATTTAGTTGCACCTTATTCGGTTGGTGTACTCCTGAGCATGGATGATCCAACTGAATACTGCAAAATTTTGCCGTGTGTAGGCGTTGCATCGACCACATAATTGCTCCCTTCCGACTAAACACAGCCTCAAAGAGATCCAAGTCAACGTGAACATCAGTTCTATTCAAGAGTTTTTTTTCTAGGACTGTGTAAGCTTTCTGAACGTTGAAATGAACTGAATATTCAATGATTTAGTTCAGATAACGGTACGCATGATGCGGACCTAGAACAGAATTCATCGATTTTCACAGATCTGTTTTGCGCACAAAAACGTACACCGAATCAAACTCCGATTACGGTCAGTGTCAAGCAAGATGAAGCCTGTTTACAAATGATCAACTTTCTAAGATTACTTTGCATCTGGAGTCATATCGCCAACAATTCGAACAGTTGTCGAAATGACCTACTTACCGACAAATTTGATATGACGTTCTGATTGAATTTTATCCTGATCAAGGGAGTGAACCAAGTTTTGCCACAATCTACAACAAGTTTTAGTGTGTACGCCGCTGAATGCCCACACAAGATACCCCAAACTTTTCGTCCAGATTGGTCAACACGGGAACGTAGCAAACCAAGTTTCGGTTGAATCACTACACACTCAATCTAGTCACACTACAGTACAGAAAGCGATATATTGCACTTAATTCATCGAGTCTGGCAAAATCGCTGGAATTTTGCGTAAACTCAAAGCTTGCTGCTGCCGGGGTGATATCCATCTGTCCTCGCAATCGCAATTTCAAGAGCGATTCTTATGGACTCCCGGGCTCTAATCTCTGGCAAAAGATTGCCGAAAATGTGATAAAGGATTGATCTTAGTTCTCCGAGTTTCCAGTAATGTTGTTACTGAAATCACTGTCTAACAGCGAACATCTGCTTTTCCCACTACTAAATGAACGTTTCTCTCAGCAAATGCATTTCTGTCCATTACGTTGTAAAATACCCGAGGTGTTTCAAATTAATTCAGCACCATACACAAGGAGGAGTGATTATTTTCTATCCCACTGTTCTGATGGTAGTGCGGAATTCTTAATAGTATACCTCAATATTCTGCTGTTCATCGCTTTCCCGCAGCAGCTAATTGCGTAAATGTAAAACCAGGCTTTTTTGAGAAATTTTTCACTGGCACATGTTATCAGCCAGTTTTACTGTAAACTTCTCTGCTGATGGCTAAATTAGATTGACTATAATGCTTTACTTGTATCTTTTTGGGAAAACGAGTACCTCAAAGGCATAGACGCAGCAGTTATCCTTTTTAGATCATTTTTTCACTATAAAATTACAAGTTACAGCCGCTTGTAACTTTGTGCCATATTTACGGTCTACTTTAGATACTGTCAATCACGCGATCTGTTCGAATTCGCTGATATCCGCCCTGGAAACTGACATTTTTCTATGGAATTCTTCCAATGAAGCTTATCAGAAAAGCTTTGGTGAAACGGAAATTTACTGGATAAGAAATTGCGCTTAATTTTTATAGATGATAAAAACATTTGGTCAATATATTAAAAAGGAATTGCCTATGACGTCTAACCATTGGTCTCTCACAGTCGTGTCATTCATTTACCAATTAAGTTGTCCTAAAAAACGTAAACCATGCAAGAGCACTGACCCAAATTCAGTTTCAAATCGACTGCTTAGTTGACGGCACGGTCTTTACTTTTGGAAACTCCATGTCGTATCCTAGGTAAAGTGCTCAAGTAAAGCATAAGACCATAGGGAGGATGAGTTCATATGGAGTGTAGAGTATCTCCCTATCGTACCCAAAGTGAATTAGGGTAAACTAGCTGAAAACCGGGCTGCTTAATCCTTATACTTGTTCTTGGTAACGTTGATGACGTGCGGCTAATGCGATCTGTGAACTTTTCATTCATTGGTAAATCAACTGAACTACTGCACATGCGTGAAGCGAACATTTATTGTGAACATATAACTTAAAGGATTACAGGAAGCAAGGTTTCACCCAAAAGTTCGTGTATTTTCCCTTTCTAAGATCTGGCCCTCTCAAAAATACGTGTCATCTTCGCGTATACCTGGCTAAGCTGGAGTCCAAATTGCTGACAATGACCCACTTTCAATGGAAGTTGAAGTTTGAAGCTTTCACCAACCAGTCTCTAGCAAAACAAAGTACACTCCTCAGTAACATCCCAGAACAATTTTTATAAGTACATCAACAAAGCACATTATTACACGTGCAAGATACTGGCAAAATCCTCAGTGGACAATCTAGCTTGCCATTACCATGTGGAAAAAATCTTTCTGTCCTCCACTATCCAGGTGGATGTTTGGGAATACCAAGGTGAATGCAATGTGATTGCGAAGAACAAAAAGCAAAAACACATGGAGTTTGGAGGATGGGTGTTGCCCTCACCTGGGTGCTAAAGAACATAACTTTTCTTGTTCCTTTGTACATGTTGATGCTGTTATGTGGCATGTTACAGTGATCAAAACGTTGCACGATTAAATAAACAGTCGGGTCATCTAAAATTGGCTGCTAGTGCGGTAACAAAATACCGAATGTCTAAACGTCTGGGACTACACAACTGAAACAAAATGATTCAGTATTTTCGCTTCCTGACTGTCAGATTGCAGACGAAGAAGCGAGAGCACTTATTAAACGATCCTTGTATATTATGTCTGTGAAGGTCATTTTGTCTCTGACAGACTATCAGTCATCAAAGCACGAAGCTGAGGGTAACCTAGTCCATGGTGCAGAATGATCAAAGTCTACGTATCCCTGGTGTTACCTGGTCATCGCCAAAATAGCAGTCGTATCAAAAATTACATTGTGTGATGAACTTGAGTGATGCTCTACTCATTACTCTATTCACTATGCTCTTGTTTTAATATTCCAAGTGCTGTACACATACATCAGCTTGAATTCAGACGTGCTACTTGTTAGGGAGTGCAGAATTTTGAATTTTCAGTTCGTTTGGTTATACCGATATATGTACTGAACTCGATTCCTGTATTTTTGCGTTGCGATTCGAGCAATTCATCATGCCTACCCAAATGAAATTATTTAAAGTTAATTCAACTGCTCGAGATGTAGAGGACTCTTTGCAACGATCTGGCATGTGGTGTCTAACAAAAAATACAATATAGATGATAAGAAACTCCCGAAACATTTTCTACATTTTGTTGGCAAGGGGGAATATACATTGATCAAGAACGTAGTATATTCTGAATCTCCAACTTTTTATGATGCATTGAAAAAAAGTACTGCAACACTTCGTACCAACTATCTGCTCGTAGCCGAAAGAGCTAGGTTCGGTATGTTGATCCGCTTCCTTTCTCAACCGGTTTGTGATTTTGTATTACAGTTGGAGACACAGACAGTCAAGTGTAGCTACGATACCCAACTAGTAGACCAACTGTGTGATAGGCTCAGCGGCGCTATTCAGTTGCCCGAATTACAACAGAAGCTGCTACTCTGTCCATATCAAAGCTATTCAGAAAACATATGAACAGTGTAAAACTGTGAAGCATGTAACGAAGACTGATGAAGCATTGTTGTTGATTTATTCCCAAGGATGTAATAAGCAATAAATTCAAACCTTAAACAAAGTTTCGTGCTTCGAATTCATCAGTACGTCGCTTCACAGATTGTATTACATTTCAGTTATTCTAAAATTTGAAAATGATAATTTTATGAACGGAATCATTGCAGATATTCATTCTTTCACAGGCAAACGAAGTGTTTTATCTGCGGAAAAACGATTGACACTCTACTTTTCCTTAAGTCTAAAAAAGTGTCACTTATCTTTTGATCCAAATACTGACGTGAATGCATCATTTAAAGACATCTTTAAACTTTTTCTATTTATTTTGCTTCAAAATTTTCACACCTTTTTAAAATCTTGATATTCGTTTCTGATCAAAAACATTATCTCATTGTTGACACTGGTAGTGTTGAATCTATTATTCCACAGCCAGACCTAACTGTATTTTACGTCGGTGTTGTGATAGTGCTTACAGATGCTAATATCCGCGGTATCACTGAATATTTTGTACCTCTAGTTGGCAGTTGTACGAGTCCCGTGAAATTGCTCCAAGAGAGGCCTGTCAATTGTATTTTTTTAGTTTCAACCTCAGGATCATTGATTATCGGACTCGAAGTTCTGCGCCCTTACTGACTGCTGTCAATGAGAATGAACTCAAACAACTGACTCCTATATGTTCTAAGCCTACAGGTGGCATGTAAATACCCAAGGTGAAACTCGAAGTTACAGGGGATCCTATATTTCTCAAGAGACTAATCATTCCATTTGGCTTACGGGAACCTGTAAGCCAAACAATAAATCCAATGTGTGAGAAAGGAATACTGACTCCTGTCGAATCGTCAAAGTGGGTAACTCCGGGAGTCACGCCACCAAAGGCCGATTAAATTACTCCGAGTATTTGTGGGGACTACCGACTAGCGCTAAATTCGCAGTTACTACAACGTATATGCACTACAGAGGAGCCCGAAGTTGTACTGTATCGTTTATTAGATTCAAGTATTTTTCCAAAAATGATCTAAACGTTGTCTTTCTTCAAATGCGGCTGGACAAATCCCCTAGTACTCTTACCGTGGTCAACACACCTTTTGGGTTATTCCGATACAATTTCCTTCCCTTCGGTATGAATGTTTTACCAGCCGTTTTCAACAAGTTATGAATACTATTACAGAAGATTCGGAGGGTGATGAGACGTACCAGAACGATGCCATAGTGTACGCTGCTGATGAGGCTGCCCATGACAAGCGTCTGTTGCCTCCCCCAAAGCGATGTTCTGAGATCAGTGTAGCCATTCACCCTGACGAATGCACTTTTGGTGTTCCATCATTTTCCTACCTTGGCTACATTGTGGATGGCAGTGGTTTTAAACCCGAAACAAACCGACTATCTCTCTTGGTAAATGCGACATCACCAACCAATCTACAAGAACTGAGTTCTGTTCTGGGAGCACTTCAGTATTATTCCCGTTTTATTCCTAATTTTACTAAACATGCAAGTTGCTTGTTTGATGCCATATCTGCCAATCAATTTTCTTGGCCCTTTAACCGTGAAAGGATGTTGCGCTCATTGCTTGGTCATCAAAGTTCACCTGCTTTGAAACAATTTTCCACCAAACATCATTCGACCATCGTTACCGATGCTTCCACCGCTGGAACAGGAGCAATCCTTGAACAGTGTGGTAGGCCAGTGATCTGCGTTTCCCGTCGGCTTTCAAAAGCTGAACGTGGATATTCTCAGACTCAACGAGAAGCGGTATATTGGGCTGTCAAACGTCTCCAAATGTATCTTTTGGATCAAACTTCAAGTTCAAACTTAAAATTGTTACATTAACCTACAAAATCCCTAGCGGAGTCATCCGCCGCTGTGGTGCAATGGTGGATTATTGCACTGAGTTCGTACACCTACACGATTGTTCATAGTAGGGCAAAAATGATTCCCCATGCCGATTTCTTGTCAAGAATTTCATCATGCGACTCTGATTCAAACAATTTAGACTGTTTGTTGATCCGACCAGTCAAGTGGGATGCGCTTGTGGCCGATGCTGGAGACATATTGCTCCCATTTTTTTGCTCCGCAGCGCGGCTAGAAACAGCGAGAGCGACGTCGATTTCCTGCATTTTACTGTCGCTGCGAAAATTTGTCAGTTACTCCGGATGGTTTGTCTTGCTTTGAGGAGATATCATCACACCGACTCAGCGAGCGGCTGTTACTTCCTATTTGTACTCTGGTCACCTGAATGTTGAAATAGCAAAATATCTTGCACGCTTGTCATGCTGAAGCCAAAACTAGATGCTGAAATCACGTATATTGCTGAAATTGTGTTGAATGAGTACATAAGGTCCATAACAAATCTTCATAGCGGTATCCGTGGCGAGTTACTTGTGAAGCATTCCAACGAGTTCACGCCGACCACTGCGGTCCTTTCTTCGGTAAATACTACGCTTTGATTGTTGTTGACGCTGGCCTGAAGTTTTTCTAACTATTTCTCTAAGGGCTGAGTACACACAACAAGCATTGAGGAAAGTATTCAACCATTAATATGTACCAGCTGCTTTGGTCACGGCACAATTCTCTGTTAAGTCCTTCGACCAATGGTTAAAAGGCCTTGGATGTCGACAATTGTTTACTCCTCCACAACATCCCCAGTGGAATGGGCCTGCTGAGAATTTTGTCCGAACACTAAAATATGTCATTACTTCATTCTCTCCTATGACTTTTGTGGAGTTGGGGGATTGATANGACCGTGGGATTGATAATTTTCTAATGCAATACATGAATGCCGTTCATTCCGTTACTGGGAAGAGTTCTGCGCCTCTATTTAAATCTCGTTTGTTACGTACAAGTCTTGACTGTGCCAAAACGACTGCCGTTACGTTTTTCAGGAGCAGTGATGTACAGCCTGCCACGGAAATAATACTTTCATCAAATGGCAAACGTAAATTTTTGATTTGGATGATCTCTGTAGTCACCGGAGACACACTGATCAGGTTGAGTTCAATACCGGAGGTCAGTCTGCTAATGGCAACCCCGCTGTTTCAAATACTAATGACTTCTCTGTAGATGGTCTTATTGAATCCGAACAGACCGTTATCTCTGAAGAATATGCTACCTGCGAATAATCTGACGTTTCCAGTCCGGGAAGGCCCGAAATACTGTGATGAAGACCACCACTGAATTATAAACATCCATACGCTCATTCAAGGTGTGTCGGATGTGATGAACATGATTGATGCTCTGTTCACTGCTCTATTCATTATTCTTTTGTTTCCAAGTGTTGTGCACATACATCATTTCGAATACATACGTGCTAATCGTTATGCTATGCCAAATTGTGAGTTCCTAGTTCGTCCGCTTATACCGATACACGTACTGAACTTCATCCCTACACATGGTTATGTATCCAAGCTGGAAAATGGCCAAGAGCATGATTGGTGAACATCGCAGTAGTAAACAAATAAAAAAACTGCGCCCACATTCAAGGATATGGAAAGATTTGATTGTCAAACCTTTGTTACCGAAAATACTCCTAAAGAATGGCCTCTCACCAGTGGCCACCGGAAATGCTTTATTCTTCTATCCATAACGATCCGAAATTCAAACTCAAAGATTTTTCTATGGGAAAACAAACATCCTCACAGTATTCCAGAACGTGTGTAGGACGTAGGATAAACAATTGTAATGCTTTCGCACGCTCTAAACCAGATTTATTGATGCTGCTTACTGGAAGAGAGCCAGTGTATTCCACCTAAAATATATATTTGTTTTCAAACCACGTTTGTAGTAAGTACAACAAAGCTGTAAAATTAAAATTTCAGACACGTGTAAAATGGGCGACAAACAAAGCCAGAATTTGACGCAGACATCGGCTGTCGTAACACTAGTAACCGGGTACGGGATTTTAAGCAACGATAATACGTAAAAATTGTATGGACAAATGTGATTCCTGTAAATTTTCTCTCAAGTTGAAAATAGAACATAATGAGTTTGCGTAATGAAGTTAAGGTTTATATTGGAGCATAAGATAGTGTCGGTAGCCAGCTTAACGGTAGTTAGGAGGTAGCTGACATATTCACCGATCTGGTGTCTCTATTTCAATGCGGCACCGATACTCCGGTTAGTGGCGTCCGTTGCAAAGGTAAACGTCTCCCCTCCCCTGGTGGTCTGAGGGTCAGTTGTTGATCCAGTATCCGCGCTTTGACGCATTCAGAGGCCTCATGTACTCCTTATATCCATTTCAACCTCCAACTTTGACGCAGCATTTTGTAAATTTGGACATCAACGCTGTTGAAAGCCGTGATGAACTGACTGTGCTATGATGCTCGTGCGAGAAGCTACCATAATGGCCGCTTTGGATTAGGGATGGCACAGATCTGAAACTTTGCCAGTTTTTTTCACCACTGGGCTAACCTATCTTCAACTCACTTCACGAGAGCTGATTCTCAACTTCATTTACCCGCAAGATGGCTTCCTGAGTGCGCTTCAGTATGGCTTTCTGGTGGGCGGCATGTTCTTGTATTGAATTGCTATCCACGACGATGTCATCCAAGTACCCTAAAACATTCTCTCGTTCTTAAAATAAGTGAAGCATCTAGCAGAGAAGTAAATGCTTTCGACAAATCAAACGGCATCCGTCTGAAAGGACCCTTTTTGCCTCAATGAACGCCGTCTTCTCGTGGTCCTCTGACTTGATATCTGGCTGTCAGTATCTGGAACACAATCCGAACACTGTAAAAGATCGAGGTTGCTAAAGTAAATCGAAAATCTCGGAAACCAAGAGGACAGCTGCGAACCAATTACGGTGAGCTCAATCAAACACCGGAAATCCATCCAAAATCGTTAGTTCCCGTTCTCCTTGTTGACAAGCACAACAGGGAATTTGTACACACTGTTGTCGCACCATCTTCCCATCCTGGCCACCCAAACCTGACTCATAGCTTCCTGAGTGTCGGCCGGTGGGTCGAGCCCTGTTGGAAACGTTTCATTCGTGGCGACCCAGTCTACCTCCAAAGGGCCTTTTCTTTACGCATCCAAGATAGCACTAACCGGCCCCTGAACAATATCCCAACTTCCACCAACTTAATCCGGTTAGTCTCCAACCAAGACGGCCCAGTGATATCCTCGAAGGCCTCAAAGAACTTATGCACACCAATATCCTAAGGAATTTTGGCCATGGGATCTTCATCCGTATCCTGGCCGGATCAAAATCCAAACGGTTCGTTTGTCCTGTTTCATTCCAAACAGCGCTCTCCGTGAATATGAGCAGGCCCACCCGATGGGTGCTTGATCGGCTATTTAGCATTTACCCCTGTGTTCACAATGTAGCCCGCGCTCACAAATTGATTTTAAGTTGCACATAACCCAGTTGTCAATTCGGCTCTCATGCTTACTAGATAGTTCATTTTCTAGAAGCAGGTTTGCGTCTTTATGCAGGTGAACCGAGTGAGACCAGAAGAGAGCGTATACATACTTCCCAATTTTGTGTGTATGTTTCGAATTGCTCTTGTGTTTCACTCAGCTATGATTCAGTTCTTCATCGCGCTCCGATCTCGCATGTATTCTATGCTGGATTCGCATTTCCAAAAGCAAAACAGTACACATAAACGGTTACTAATAAGCACCATCTTCTGCAGCACCTTCAGTTCTGGATCGGAAAATGACTATCGAAGAAAGCTGACAGCAGAATAATACGTAGACAGTTTTCTAC